CTTCAAACTTTGGATGCAAGTTTCCTAGGAAAGCTACATATTTCAACATATACTGTAAACACAAATAAAAGCAAAGAAAAAAAGTTAACGGGGGGGGAGGGGAAGAATCACATGTCTTGGGAGAACAAACAAAACTATTTATTCTGGCATTGAGAATGATAACACCTCTCAGACCAATTTCAAGTGCCCCCAACTATGCTGGTTAAGAGTGATCAGCCCTCATTTCAATAGAGCTGCAGAGGGATTTCTCTAAAAGACTTAATTTTACCGTTTTAAAAGGCTACACTAGACTTGGAGACTCAATTTCAGGTTCCTCTGATACAGTATTTGCCCCCAAGCTAAAAACTAAGAATCAAAATGATTACTGCCCATTACGTGAGGTGCTCTACTGGAATAAAAATCAATGAGTGGCACATTTACCAGGGTTCTGGACTGCAATTCAAACCAGATAAGAAAGATATCCCTGTATTGAACGTCATTTCTTCCTTGTCCCCAATGATGCACAAAATTAAGCCCAAACAGCAAGCACTGTTTTCCTAGACATCCCAATTTAAATAAACACATGCTTGAGCACCACGGTTTTATTAGCCCTTGCTTGTTTCTATTAGGAAGTTGCATGGTTAGATTTTTTTTTTAAACAATCTGTGCCAGTGCCAACATACAAGAACAGCTGCTGGAATTCAAGAGCCATAGCCTACCAGTACAAGAGAGATTTTCAAAGTGATCAGTATTTTGTTGGTTAAACTTGACAGTGCCCAACAGCAACCAAACTTTCACAAGCTATGGTTCGGCTACCTGAGCACTCCTGCCCCCAGGTTAAGCAAGCCAGCATCAACGCTACCATCAATTTCTTAATATCGCCAATGTCCCTTTAAACTTGGGAAATGCCCCCAAAAGACATGGTTTACTATTACACTTTGTTCATATAGATGCACCAGCCACCAACTCCCATGTCCAGAGAGACTTAACTACATAATTACCTAGAAATCAGACCATTTTAACTGAAGTGAGAATTCATACGCGCAACTTTACGTTATTTTTTTTAATGAAAAAACTGGGGTCATGTTATAAAAATGAACTTCTAGGTAATCTGCATCATCTTCACAATGTTATTGAAGCGTTAAGGAAACACAAAATTCCTCTAACAGATCCCAGCTAGATTCTGCAAAACAATTTAGACTGCAACCTTTTTTGGGCAGGTACTCACTCATACATAGGGCTTGTTCAAAACATACCATAATTGGTCCCTGATTTCTGTAAGAATCCAAAGATCCCATCATAACTGCAGTGATATAGAGACTTCATGCCAATAAGAACACGTTTGTACGTGCACCCGCATGCCCCCACCCAAAACAAAGAATGGGAAAACACACAACTTGCCTTTTTGAGAAGGCTGCTCCACCAGGAGCTGCTGCCTCCTCCTTCTGGGAGGTACCATAAATTGAACTGATTGCTGTTGGACTTTTACAGACAGGGCTCTTCCTTGTTGGGCTCAAACCTGCTGAACTGTGCTCAAACGTGCCCTGATGTGAGCCTGCCTGAAACGAGGCGCCACTTTGTAGAACAGAACTCATCTGCGAAGGATTGGAGAGTGGAGGGCTGGACTTCTGTAATGGGCTTGGCCGAGGTGAACGGCGCCTCACCACAACGGACTGGAGGGGACTTTTTAGGGCAGGGCTGCGCTCTCTTGGGCTAAGATCTGGCACAGAAGCTCTCGAAACTGAGCCTGACCCATAGCTGGTCATATCCTGCCATGGTTTTGACCCCTCAGATGCCTTGACATCCTGACCACCTGCTCCAGAAAATGACTGCTCCTTCGAATCTTCACCTTGATTATCTCCTGTAGCCTGTGATGCCCGCGTGTCCTTGGATGAGGACTTTTTCTCCTTTACAGACTTTCTCTTGGAAGACTCTACACGACTGTGGTTTGAGGAAGACCGAGAAGATGAAGACCTCCTAGATCTATCAGAAGATGACTTATCGGAGTTTCTAGAATGGCTCCTAGACCTTGGTGATGGGGACCTCCGCTTTGGGGACCGAGAACGCGACCGTCCCCTGCGAGGGCTATAGGCCTGGCGATAATTTTGCCAATTGGACCTGTAATTTCCATAGCCTCCTCGGTTATACTGGCCCCACGGATAAAATCCTCTGTTCCGCCCACGGAAATAATACGGTCTCCTGTACCCTCTGTTATGACCTCTGAAATCTCGGTTCTGATAGACTCTTGGGTGGTTCCTTTCTCTATTATGAGATGGAGAATATGATCTTGAACGAGACCTAGAACTGGAAAGAGAAAAGATACAATTATTTGGAAACTTTCCCCTCAATTAAACTATTTTTATTGAAAACTGTACAGAATTAAACAGACCATATTGGACTCTCCTTTAAAAAGGTCTAAAATTATCTTTTTTGCTTGCCCCACACCCAGTCTCATTATTCTAAACATGACACTGTCTGCTTTAGTGAAAACTCTTCCCCCACACAACCAGTGACAGTACACAGTATCTGTACTACAGCTGAAGAGGACACCCACATCCGTAAGTCACTGCTGAGATCAGGACAAGAATAGCTCGGTTCCAAATGGTCTAGGGCTGATGTTGCTGATACCTGCCTTCACGAGACTAAATGGTTTCTTCTTTCAAACACCCAGCCTTCACAACTAAAGGTTACACCTAACCCTGGCTCTCCTAACAATAAGCCAGGGATGCATTTCAGACTCGAAGGGCAGCTCCTCCTGTAACAGATTTAAGTCCCTGCAGCACCAAGGAAGGGGCTGGCAGGGGAATCCTAAATGACTTCCCTTGCTAGAGACATTAAATGAATGCCAACGCTTCAAAATGAAAACAACAGCACTGAAGAGAAAGATCAAGGACAGGGCGTTTTCCATTTCTAATCTCAAAATGTATATGAATCACTGAGATTCAAAACCTTGAGCTTAGTCAAGTGAAGTAAGTTATAGAACTTCAGGAACAGCGTGCAAAATGCACGTATTGTGCCTGCAGCCTGATGCCAGGAGATGGCACTGTTTAATACTGCAAACCTCTTTTACTTTTAAGGGGAAAACAGCGTTCAGGTAGGAAGGCAGACAACATGGAAGTTAAACACACCTGAGGTTACAGATTTGAGCAGTGTTTCTTGGGGCAGACAATATACAGTTTCTCTCTCCCAAGTACAACTGGTTTCCCTTAGTTTTATCAAATATTTGAAAACCGCAATTGTTGCAGAACTATAAAGGCAGCAAGATAGCTGAGGACAGCTCAGGCTAATTCACTTTATGAATACGGGAAAGTCAGAGAGCTATGTTTACAGGGAGGTGTTTTAGTAACTTTGCACTTATTTAAAAAGTGCAGACAATGTTCCTGCTAAAACACACACAAAAGCAATTTCCACACGCTTTACTCAAGTGATGCCTATTTACTGCAAATATTTTAGGATACTTTATTAATAAAGATTAAATCGTCTCTGAAAAAGTAACTCTTATAGCAGCAATGTTTGAATCACTTATCCTAGTAGACCATACCTACTACTTTTCTCTCCTCAAAATACTTAAAAAGTACAATAAAACACCACACTTTACCACTACTCCTAAAATGTTAAAGGTCTAACTCAGCTAAAACATGTATTTTAAGTGTAGTTTTCTTTTGTCGAATTATCAAATACATTAGTGTTTAACAGGCAAGAGCTTATATTACAGCATTAGCTACACCCAACATGCATTTAGTTTAACATAAACTAATTAATGGTTTCCTGAAAGCATTTATGCTCTGTTCAAAACAAGAAAACAGTACAACTTACCTGAAACAGGCTTTCATTTGAAAGTGGTATCAACAAGATAAGAAAGATGGAAAAAACACATGCAGATGCAGGCAGTGAAAACAAACCAATTTAGAGAGGCGATCCAGAAGCACTAAGCAGAATACATAGGGCTCCTGTCCCCAAGTGACTAATTTATTTGTTACCAATTACTAGTGAGGAACCTGTTACATGCTGCTTCCAGCATGCACTCTGTCATTTTACAGAGGCACAGAACATGAACCTTTCACGCTCAGAGCTGCAGAGACTATTTACAAGAAGTCATTTTAAGATACAGTGTGAAATGCAACAGAAATATGCTAGAAATGATAATCATCTTTCAAGTCTGACAGACTCCAAAGCTAGCCCGTTAAGTTAGCAAAGATCATTCTTGCATTCTGGAGATTCCACCACTCCTATAATAGTGGGCAAAAAGAGAAAGAAACAGAGGAAGATACTCTCTCCTGCAAACGAAAACCATACAGACAAGGCTGACCAGAATCAAGCATGGCAATACAACCTGCAATACGAGTTGAGCCACTAAAACAGACTGAAACAAAATAATTCCCTCAATTTATTCTTTGATGCAATAGCGTTATTTTCTGTTCTGTGCTATGATTCTGCATTAGACCTACCTCGGTGAATACACTAAAGTCTTACAAGATGACTTGTCTACAATAACCCCTTCCATCTCAATTCTCTTTTACCAAGTTATTTACAGCGCTAAAGTTGTCCCAGAAGCAACACAAGGTTAGGGAAGATTTGTCTTTTTTGGATCAAGGAGCCTGAGTTTCCATTCATCATAGCTGCCCTGTAGCTGGTCAGATGTTCCCAAGTACAATGTATCTTTCCTAAAGCTCCAGCTTCTCTATAAAGAGCTCCGATCCGCTTGAGGCTCCACCCCATCTGGTTTTGTCCAGTCTCCCTCTCTGTTGCTTTTCTGCATCTTAAAAATCCTTTTAATAATTCAACAGTTGCAGAATTTTCAGAATACCTGTCAGGCATTTTAGACTAGTGAAAAACAGCTGAATAGCATTATACCCTGGCCAACTAGAGGGGGAAGGGTTTTTGGGTTGTTTTTTTTAAAGCAGCGCAACTGCCAAATGGTGGCTTTGCAAGATACAAAATCCTCCACTAGCAACCTAGTTGCTTGGATAACAGAAATCCATAGTTTTCTCGTTTTAAGAAATGATTTAGGCTTAAATTGATCCAATTCTGAGCAATCCCCAGGCAACAGCTATCAAGCACTCAGAGGACCTATCACCGTATCTCTTAGCAGTCAAATTAGCTCCAAATCACATTTCCTTCCTATTTTACTGTTGACGATTCCCTTACCAACTCCTACTGTCCTGCAGGTGGAAGCAGGTGGGGGAAGAGGACTTCATATCTACCTCTCTCAGAAGTAGTTTAGACTGCCACTCTGTAAAGACTCAGCTTCATTCACAGCTCTAAGAAATACATGACTTTTCCAAAAGACCCTTTTTAAACCTCTTAGCAATTAAGCTAAAAGAACAGAAAGAACAGAGAAGTTAACAGACAAGGCATTCTGCTATAGAATCTCCAAGCTATGCACCCACGTGTGTTTGTTCTGGCAGGGAACAGCCTTAAGACAACAAGACTCTCTCCGTGCTATTGGCACCTAAAATTATAGATTTCATAGACATTAGGGCTGGAAGGGACCTTGTAAGATCATCGGGTTCAGCCCCCTGCCCAAGGGGCAGAAAGTCAGCTAGGGTCAAAAGATCCCAGCAAGACAGGCATCCAAATGTCAGAGTGGAAAAAAGTGAAAAAAAAGTGATCAAAAGTAACTTTGGTCTGCCAAGAGGTTTAAAACCAAATCTGATATTTTCCAGGTCATAACAAAAACATTGCACCTTTCTTTTCCAATTATCCTGGCTCAAGAATACCTGGCAAACATCTCTTCAGTAACCACTTCAAGTCTCCAAACAAAACTTCGAAAGGTTGAACAGAGATAGATAGCCAGCAAACAAAAGGTACCATCTGACATTGCTAGATAATAGACTTCGGGCTTTTCCCTTTTAATTCATTTTATGAAGCAACTACAGAAATAGCAGAGGTTGGCTGCAAACTAAAGCAAGAATTTAAGAGAGAGATGCTGAGGTATAGTCTACTTCAGAGCTTAATAAAAGGTTTTCCTGGGAGGCCAAGCGTCACCATTTAAGCAGACAGAAGAGCCCTCTGAAGGGCACAATGAACTGTATACATTACCTGAGCCTACGTTTTCTTGATCGTGAGACAGAACGGGAGCGGGAGCGGGACTTGGAAAAGGAACGGGAACGTGATCTTGATCCAGATCTCGATCGGGAGGAGCGGGATCCAGATTTCGATTTGTTAGTTTTGGACATCTTTGAAGCTCCTCCAATCACACCTGAAGAAATGGGGATGGAAAAAAAAACCCAACAAGTAAGTGAGAGGATCCTGCCAGCTTTTTCAAGCTCTCTCCTTGGCCGTCTGGACGGCCAAACTAGTTATTATAATGAAGCTTGACAAAATTATGAACAGGACATCTGAGCAGCTGCCTGCGAGAGCAGGCAACTAGACTCTCGGGCACCAAACACACACTTCCAATCCTACGTTCCTGTGAAGAAGCATGAAGAGTTGGTAAGCTACTCTATGGAACAAGCATTGCTTTTTAAAATGTTGCTCTCCAAGTTAGGAAAAAAAAAAAAAAACAGGTAGAAGGAAGCCTCTCTGCCACGAAAACATCTTTTCCTCCTGAAAAACAAGCTTTCATTTTTTTCCCACACCATTACCAAAGAACCACTTACCACCACTTCAAAACAAGGGTAAGAGACTTTAACAAGAATTAGCCTAAAACTTGCTTTACTTTCAATTTTTAAAATAAAAGACAAAAAAGATGCTATTAATAAAAGTCTCTCCAGATACGGGTTGTAGCACTCCACAACCACGAAAGTAAGGATACAACTGAATCTC